TAAAGAAAAATACATTATATCAAAACTAAAATCCCAATAATATACTTACAAGAAAATAAAAAAATATATATTAAAATACCAATTAAAATAATTTTGGGTCAAAATATCCAATAAAAAATATATAATGTCCAATTATTCACATATCTACTAATTTTTACAAATTAAATTAATCTAAACCTATAATAATATATTATTTTATTAAAAGCCAAAAAATACAACTAAATTCCATAAAAATAATCCAAAAATTATTTATTAGAAAAATAAATAATATAATTAATATTTACAATGTTAAAAATCTTTATATACCTATATATTAAATTATAAAAATCATAACAAATAATAATTTCATTCCAATAATTATATTATATTTTTCGCATAATACACCAAAATAAAACAATAAATTACTACCTAAAATAACTTAAAATTTTCATCCAATAATTTATTAATTTAGGTAAACATCAAAAAATAATTCCGCAGAAATTTAAAATATTCAGATTATTCCTTTTTTCAAAAATCGGCCATTATAAATTAATAAAGGTAGTTTTATCAAATAATATTTTTATTTGAGAATAATCCTCTGGTAATCCTTATTTATTGCTGAGAAAATTGTATAAACACTAATGTAATTTATATCAGGATACATTAAGGCCATATATATATAGCTTTGCTGGAAAAAACAGCAGGGTGGCCCTAAAAACAAGGAGACACGGGCTGGTGTCACCGTGGCTAGCCAAACGCCAGCGAGCAAAAAAAGGGCCGGTAACTGGCTGCACTACCTGAACATGTGCCAGGAATGCAAACAGGCGGCTCATTAGCCCCAACATCGCCGGGGAGCAAGAAAAGGCACCAGGGGCTCAGCTCAGCGGGTTATGGAGGAAGTGAATGTGCAGGGAGCATTCAGCAAATGGGGCGGAGGCTAAGGCAGGCTAAAGTGATTGCAAAGAAACTGTTGGAGGAATGGCGTCTCCAGCTCTTCGAAGGACCGCTCGAGCGTTCTCCCGCTGCAAAGTCAAAGCCAGGGTTTGTTGCAGCCGCTCCGTCAAAACGGAGACAAACTTACCAGTGCGACCAGCGACGGCACGCGCGAGGAGTTTCCAAGTCGAAGTGGCTGCAGGTGCCCAACCGCCAGCGCATGCTTCAGCGACAAGAGGGACAAACTGCAACCCTTCAGCGGTGCACGTGGCTTCGGTGTTGTGGTGGGAACGCTTGCGAGCTTCGTAGTCTGCCGCCGCCCGGCTGCCATCTTGAGCAGAGCCAGCGACCGCCCCGATGCGCAGCCCCGACGTGACTGCCAGGTCGAAAGCCGCTGCACCATGAAGGCCCCAGTGCGGGACGTAAACATCCTTGTCCGTATGCCCGTATGCCCGTGGATGAGGGTTATGCCCGTATACCCGTAAATCGGATTGTGTCCGATTGTGGCCGGGTGCCCGTCTGCCTGGGCCAACGACGAGTCCAGAAATCCAAAAGTAATACGCTTGCAGGTAATTGCAATCTTTTTTTTAATTCCCCTATTTTATCCATATTAAAGAATTCTTACGGTAGATATAAAGGCCGATGCCTAATTTAGATGCTCCTCACTTTAGTCTACGGTATATTACCCGTAAATTTCCGTATGATGCGGCTCTTGTGATATGTTAAAATGCATTTCGATTGTGCAGGCTCGCACAAACTATATATCTGCGTTCTAGCCTCATCGGCCTTCCTCCTCAATCCTCTTCCTCAATATCAACATCTTCCTCCTCAACATCAACATCATCATTCTCCTCTCCCTTGGCACCAACTTCATGAAACAACTCCGCAGTACACAGCGGATGTTCCAGCAAGGAATGTTTGATTGGTAATTAAAATTTCCAATCTGGCATGTTATGACGGTGTCCTAGAACTAATATGTGCCCGTGTGTCCGTCTATCTGTGTATTGATCTCTTTTTCTTCCTCTTTCTCCCTCTTTCTCTCTCTCTCTCTCTATCTCTCTATCTATCTCTATCTATCTCTATCTATCTCTATCTATCTCTATCTATCTCTATCTATCTCTATCTATCTCTATCTATCTCTATCGATCTCTATCTATCTCTATCTATCTCTATCTATCTCTATCTATCTCTATCTATCTCTATCTATCTCTATCTATCTCTATCTATCTCTATCTATCTCTATCTATCTCTATCTATCTCTATCTATCTCTATCCATCCATCTATTTATCTGTCTGTCTGTCTGTTTGTCTGTCAGACTATCTACCTACCTATCTATCTGTCTGTCTGTCAACCGGTTGCCGCAGTGTGATGTCATAGCAGCAGGAGCTCGTTGTCCGTCGTTGTAGACCTTGGTGTTTGTTTGACGTTCCTTCCTGTTGCATGACCATGTGGTTGCCTTGTTGTTTGCATGCAACTTTGTTCCGCTGTGCTGTGATGCCTTGATATAATATTAATTTCGACATGCGGCGTTTCAGCGCTGTCTGCTGTAGATGGCATGTCGCTGTCCTTGCCGTGTTGTTTGCGTGTAGCGTAATGTCTTTGTGTTGCCTTGATCTTAAGTTAATTTCCACATGTCATTTTGGCTCCGTCTACTGTAGATTCCTCGTCTCCCTTTCTACTTTTCGATTTATCCTTTTGCCTATCTATCTATCAATCTATCTATATCTAAACCTATATCTATATGTATATCTATATCTAAATCTATATCTATATCCATATCTATAGCTATATCTATATCTATATTTATATCTATCTATCTGTATCTATCTGTATCTATCTATATCTATCTATATCTATCTATATCTATCTATATCTATCTATATCTATCTAAAACTATCTATGTCTATATCTAACTCTATCTATCTCTATCTATCTCTATCTATCTGTATCTATCTCTATCTATCTCTATCTATCTCTATCTATCTCTATCTATCTCTACCTATCTCTACCTATCTCTATCTATCTCTATCTATCGCTATCTATCTCGATCTGTCTCCGTCTATCTCTATCCATCCATCTATCTATCTGTCTGTCTGTCTGTTTGTCTGTCAGACTATCTACCTACCTATCTATCTGTCTGTCTGTCTGTGTGTCAACAGGTTGCCGCAACGTGATGTCATAGCAGCATGAGCTCGCTGCCCTTCGTTATAGACCTTGGTGTTTGTTTGACGCTGCTTCTTGTTGCATGACCATGTGGTTGCCTTGTTGTTTGCATGCAACTTTGTTCCGCCGTGCTGTGATGCCTTGATATAATATTAATTTCGACATGCGGCGTTTCAGCGCTGTCTGCTGTAGATGGCATGTCGCTGTCCTTGCCGTGTTGTTTGCGTGTAGCGTAATGTCGTTGTGTTGCCTTGATCTTAAGTTGATTTCCACATGCGTCGCTTTGGCTCCGTCTACCGTAGCTTCCTTTATGTGGGCTTGCTTGCCGTTATTCTGCCGCAATATGGATTGCCCGTGTGCCCGTGTGCCTGTGGATTCCTCGTCTGCCCGTGTGCCCGGGTGCCCGTGGATTGCTTGTGTGCCCGTGGATTGCCTGCGTGCCGTGTGCCCGTGTGCCCGTGTGCCCGTGTGCCCGTGTGCCCGTGTGCCCGTGTGCCCGTGTGCCCGTGTGCCCGTGCCCGTGTGCCCGTGTGCCCGTGTGCCCGTGTGTGCCCGTGTGCCCGTGTGCCCGTGTGCCCCGTGCCCGTGTGCCCGTGTGCCCGTGTGCCCGTGTGTGCCGTGTGCCCGTGTGCCCGTGTGCCCGTGTGCCCGTGTGCCCGTGCATTGCCTGTGTGCCCGTGTGCCCGTGTGCCTGTGGATTGCCTGTTTGCCCGTGTGCCCGTGTGCCCGGAGGGCCGTGAGGAGACCTATCTCTTTTATTCGATCTTCAGCCCCATTTCAATAGCTGCAAAGAAAACTATAATAACTACAAAAATCTAAAGGTATCTACCGCCAACCTAATTTAAATAAAATGCCTAGGTATACGAAAACTATGTCATTAACCATGAATGTATATATATATATATAGAATTCCGTCTTTTAAATCTAAATTATAAACTTATCCAATAACAATAAATCCCAAAATTATTTAATGCAAAAAGTATTTTAATATATTATTATTTCGATATTTTAGATTTAATTATATCTATTTAAAATTAAAATTAAATATATATATAATTAGATATTATATATATATTTGTAATTAATTGGACAGATATATTGTTTCATGCTTGTGATGGTTGTCGGTTATTTCATGTTGTTGTTGTCAGGACCACAGCCCAGGGTTGGAAGATTGGATATCTGCCAAAGCTTTCGTGCCACTTGGTGTGCCCCAAGCGCTTTTGAAGCCAACCTGGCATTTCTCGGCAATTTCGGGCTACGCTTCTCACTGACCTGCAATGGCACCGCCCAGCAATGGCAGGGCCAGAAACCTTTTAGGTTTTTCTGCCTCGGCCGTACTTCCGCCAGTAGGAATTTTCCTCTCGCTGGCACCCAAATGCGCACAGTAAGGGCATCTTTTATTTGGTTTGTTCGAGCCTATCAATATGGCATCCTTCCCATCCCTATAGTGAAAATTGCCGTGACACTGGCTGGCAAACGCTTGTCACCCACCATAAATACCACCTATGTCATGAACAAAAGCGAGAAAGAGTGACAAAGAGTGGACGTGCCATCGCAAGCGACTCTGCCCTAACAATCCACCGCGAGCGACCCACTTCTCCCACCGATGCCAGCTGTCCTTGTCCCACCAATATGGCAAGGCCACAATACTGATACAGCAACTCGTGACCAAAGGTGCCACCAAACCAAACACTGCCTGAGGTCAGGACGGTGTCTGGGGTCACCGGCTTTGGACATGAAGAAGTTAAAAAGGGACTATCGCCCAAGGAGGAATTCCAAGAATGGGACCTTGTCATCACTGGGCTTCAAACCAAGTTGGGAAAGGAATACAAAAAGGTGGGCTTTAGTCTGCTGAAAGGTGTAAGCATCTCAGATCTTTCTCTATGTTTGACATCTTTGTTGTTCAATCTTGGTTCAGGTTCCTTTTCGGATGCAGCACTTATACATGCTTCCGAATGTGTAGATGCAGCAAGTGGCCTAAGCAAAACGCTAGCCTGACCAAACACATGGATTCCACCTGTGAAAACAATCTTCATCCAAAGCAAATTCACCAGGCCACGTGAATGATGAAAAGGACGACGAACTTCAAAATCGCCTGGCAACACGCTAGTTTGATGCGCCACTCAAATCATAATCTTGGTAGGGACTGAGACGTGTGTGTGCAACCTAACACAAAACTGAGAGATATTCACTATATTCACCGTCAACTATGGGGGTATTACTATTACCCGATGAGGATTGTGATATTCAACCGCAAACGACTTTGCTTTTGCAATTTTGGGAAAAGCTATCCAAATAATTCTGGCAACTTTTGGTTCGAGTATGGCCACACATGAGCCAGCCCCAACATCACCAATGCAATAATTATGGCCAAAAGAAAGGTGCTGGACACCAGAAACACGCCAGTCTTTTGTACACCAAATCATTTGAATATCTCGCCTTTCGGCGCCTCTTCTCCATCGCTGCGATGTCCTTTAATGGCCGATCGTTTCTTTGCTGCGTGTATTTCCTGTTGTGGTTTCCACGCATGGCAAAGCAAATTTCCTTTCACACAAGACCAAAGCCTAGCAGAATTCACCACAAGTTTGCAGTGACATCAACATCTTCCGGAATACAACCTCCCGACCCAGTCATGATCATTTCTACTGAAGCATCCGTCACCAACTGCCAGCGTCCTTCTTTACATCCTCGGTCTGTGGCAATGATGCTGCAGTCTTCAACTGGTCGGAGAAACCCACCAGCAGCAGCGTGTTGCAAGCAACCTGTTAGCAACAGAGCATGTTCATGCAAGACCAGACCTCCGGGTTTTTCTGAGATATAGGACCCCCAAAATCTCATTGCTGATCATGATTTTAAAAAAAAACATCTAAAATTGCAACATCGGTCTATGAGTATGGGACAGATACATGTGCCAAACTGGTAGCATATGATGGCCGCGATTAAAACGCCCAAAGGCAGCAAACCACATCGAGGCTCTCCCACTGAGCTCACGGCAAAGAAGACACGAGCTGCTGTCACCACTGCTGGGATGGCACACGTCGCTGCGTTGGTGCAGTTGAGGTATCTGAAAATCACCTACCAGCTGCTAGGCGCCCCATAGGTTTCGATTGCAACTTGGAGATGGAAAGGAAAAATAGTAAAACGTTAGTAACGTGAGTTGCGCACATGTTAGCTGCCAGTTTGACATCAGCAGAGGTTCAACGCTGCAAACACTTGAAGCGAGATATCCCTTGTCCAACACGCCTGGTTGGTCACAAAAATGCCAATGTCAAGGATCAACTCTTGCCTTCCAGCAGCACGGCTCTGACGGGGGATGGATAGGCACAGCATCGTGAGGCCACATTCCGTCCGCGCTGTGTGAGTTCTTGGTACCATGGCCTGTGTAAAGAAGGGGTTACACTTAAAACTTAAAACAATGTAGAAACCGAAAAACAGCCCAACTCCCATCTCCGCCAAAAGAGAATATAAGGCAATCAATGTTCGCCAACCCTTTATATTCGCCAACCTACGCTGTCAAGATTAAACAGTAACATGAAACACATGATCGAAAGCGGAGGGCAATGAAGTGAGCGGTTTGCAACGCGAATAACTGCCACAAAACAGCCACAACGCCCATGGCCTTTGTCGTTCTACGGGTACCACGCTTTTCCGCTCAGCCGCCATCACACTTCGCGCACTACGTCCAGGAATTGGCCTGGCAAAAGCGGGAAAAGATTGAGAAGTTGCACAATCTGTGACATGGGTGGTCCGGGTGGAAGATCGCAAACAAAGCATTGTGCATCATTGTGCACATCTTACCCCACAAGGCATTTCACAACCAAAAAGGGTTGTCACCTGGGCCCTACGCAACCTTGATAGCCGTGGATGATTTAGGCGCCTGAGTTTGCAGATGTGGGCTGGGTTGAACTTGCTCACATCACACCATCCAAACAACACAAGCCACATGGACAATTTCACAACTGACACTGTGTCCCCAGATATTGCATTTCGTGTTTGGGGGGCCCTGCTGTGGCAAACTATTGTGTACCTATTCTTGGTTCTGATCTCCACCTTTTTTACCAATACCCCCAACCGAAGTAGCCCTATTCAGGTGTCAGCCGAATTCAGCCGATTCGTCCATAGAACCGCTGCCTGACCGCTGGTCTCCCTACGTAGATTTTGATCATGCTACTGCTGGGATCCCAGAAGGGCGGCTGCGAGAACACAGTTTCATAATGCTTCAATCCCCAAAGTGCTCATCAAGCCTTTGAATGTCTTTATATATCTTATTGAGTGTCCTGGCACTTGGTAATGTAAGCCTCAATGAGATGAGTTCTTTCCCTTGTGCGTAAGACACAAACTGAAGCGACTGGTGTCTGATAGTATATACATTTTGGATCAGAGTTTGCCAGTCTCGAAAACCCTGCGCACGGAATAACCCAAAAAGCCAGGGAGAAAATAGAGAGGAAGGACATCCGTAAAGTGAACTTACCAATCTCAAGTCAATGCCTACTTTGGCCGATCACAAATTACAGCACCATCCTGAAAAGTCGATGGTTAAACACTACAATATACAAACAAAACGGTGGACAACTTCTGGGTCCTCTGTACATCCACTACAAACATCTGTGAGTTTAGAGCTACATACACCTATACACCAAATTCAAGACATGTGACCTGCATGCTAGTCTTAGCATGAACCACCTGCAAGCTGTGACTTGTTTTTCCACTAGCAAGGCAGCAATGGGGTTCTGCAAGTGGACGGGCAGCTGCTGCGGAAGGTCATCATGACCTGAGGGTTGCGGTGGCTCAGTGCTTCATCATCGTTCCGTCGTCCAGTTTGCAGCCGTTGCTAGATTGATACCACCCCCCCACCACAACGAATTACGTGTTCAACGGTTTAATTAACGTTGTTTCTCCCCCTAGCAATCATCGCAGTAAACAAATATGATAATTTTTCAAGCGATACGTTCCATCTTCCAAAACCATCTTTGTATGACATGAAAAGCTAGGTTTTGTGCTGCCACGAAGTTCCTTCTCCTCGTCCAGTTTCACAGCGCGAGGACCTGGGTGGTGTTGGACGATCAAGGGCAAGACGTTAAGTTGCGAAGCATGGGACTTTTGTGAAGGACGAAGGATACAAAGAAGAGTTGCAAGAGCCATAGGGTCATATAGGGTACTGTAGGATGCAAGATAAACAAAATCACAACCAATTTGGGGCTTTGACTTGCTGTGTGCCTTGTGCTTAATCAAGCCTTCGAATATCTTCAAGTTGCTACGCCATGACCCTGCAAATGCCAGTTGACCTGAAACTTCAACTTTAATCTTTGATGCACCAATAGTTCCGGCATGAACAGCGAAACAGCCAGTTGACACCTTGGAAACTGCTGAAAACGAATTCACCTGGCCATCTTCATCCTACCCTTTTGCATTGGCAGCAAGATGCACGCATTGGCACTAACCCGTCCACGAAAACTTGCCCCAGCTGACATGAGATTTCAATATTCGATATCATGTGGCACCAATCGTGCACTTTTGCATTGGCAGCGTGATGCAGGCATTGGCACTGACCTGGAGGATCGTCGAAACATCCATAACTTTGCCCCCAGCTTTCAAGTGAAACGCTGCTGCTTCTGTTTGTGAAGCTGGCTGATCAAGCTATACTTGTAGATGGAACATCTACGGGCACATCCTGTACACGAGAGTGACAAGATGAAGAGAAACCAGGGGGAAACTTTGAGAAATCTGGTGTCTCCTCGTCGCCAAGCATATTACCCCAAACAAATTGAACTTTTTCTCTAGTCCACTGGGCTCTTGTGTTGAACTCCAAGGCCACGAGGCAAGTATTTGCCTTTTCATATGTTTTGGCATTGTCCAAACGCTCCAGCGACATAAGCCAATCGACATTGGACTGCCCATATCGAAGTGGGACACCGGAGTAAAAGCACCTGCCTCCTTGAGCCCACAGCATCCCCAAGACATCATCCGGCTCCAGCTCAAAGTTTCCTTTCCACTTGCCCAATCCGTGTCTTCTACGTGCATTTTTGATCATATTCCGAATGCACCCACGCAGAGTCTTGATTCTCTTCGTCCATGTGTATTCACCTCGGCATTTTTCGCAGAGGCAAGAGAAATGTCGCGTGTTTCGCCAGTTGGGGGCAAAGTGGCACAAAAGCTTTCGACACCCACACACTGAGCACTTCAAGGTTCCCAGCTCTGCGCCAACCACATCCTCTATGCAAAATTCCTCCCTGTTTCCGCAAGCATTCACAGACCATGTGGCAAGGTCAATCTGCCTGCGTAGGTTTTCCAAGTCAACATTCATACCTCGCTCGAGTCTTAACTGCTCCACTTTCTGCTTTGACCACTGGCTGGACCCCTGGAGTGCTGCTTTTTTGCTGATCACTACCGTTGAGTTGAACTCCTGCGCGATCAGTGCCACATTGTGGCGCAAGTATCCTTGCTCAATGTCCTTCCGTTCCAAAGAAATTTGCCAGTCAGAACCATGGAGTAGCAGCTCCAAATCCACCCTGCAATATGCACACTGACCTTGTTGCTGCAAAATAAGGTCGAAAAGAAAACCAGCATCCAGCTGGCAACCCCTGGAACTTTTCGCAGCTATATTATAGTGAGCATGGTTAACCAACACTTGCACATTCCGTCGGAGAGTCTTGGCTTGGAGTGGGCGGAGTCCTGGCTTGCATGGCCGCCTCGCCTCATCCACCAGGCGTTGCAGCTTATCCTTGTCCAATCGCATCCCTGCTGCCAAGGCAAAGGACCGAACGTGCAGTCGTTGCGTGAGAACAGCCCAGCACCGGCGAGATGTGAAGGATAACATGTTTGATGGAGATGTCAAGGCATGTGTAACTGGTGATATTACTTTTCTACCCGAAGTAGGGAGCTATAATCTCACCACGATGAGGCAAGCTGGTGATTGTCAACCCGTTAATTCCCACAACCACTGCATTGCATGCAAGAAGGAATACCTCGCCAATGATTTGTGCATGCCCATGTCTGTACTTGCTGTTTCCTTTTTCTATGAAAGCTGATTCCAGCTGCGCACCTGTTCAGCATCAGACATGTCATGTGCCAGGTGGTGATCAAGGCTCAGCAAATAGCAGTTAGTTCCTATATTCCAAACGTAGATGTCAGAAACGGTGCCACATGCGCCAGCGACGCTTCCACAACGAACCAATTCTTCGTCCTACTATATACTTCCCGCAGACGGCTATCACCCTCACTGCCACCAGCATCACCATGCATCACCCCATCCCCCACCCCACCGCGGCGATGCCACCCAGCTGCAGTACCATCCCCGCGACGCTCGTTGCACAGGGCACTGGTTGGTTTGCTGGTCATCGCCAAGCCTGGGCAGCTTGAACACGTCGCATCCTTGGGATTTCTGCTGGTGATATATAATTACAAATCAAATGTGGATCTTATGACCTTGCCCCATGATTCCCATGATGTTGATTGAAGCTAGTTTGGGACCAACTGACAAATCAACTGCAGCAAATCAAGTCTGGGCCCCAAAAACTATGCGAGATTAATGGAGTATCTGTCTTGGAGAGAAAGACACATGTCATGAAACCAGTGTCGCAGGATGAACATGGATAAACAATGATAAACGCAGGTTTCCATGTGCGTGTTGATTCAGCCAGAGTTAGTTTGGGGTTCAGTAAGGCTGTCAGTTGATATTGCTGAACTATTGCTAGATTGATAGCACCCCCGCCATCCAAACAAATTGTGCTTTCTTACCATTTTACACAGCAAGCATATGCAAATAATATTATCTTTGCTTCAAAAGCCTCTTTTCAAGACATGCGCCTCATCTTCCAAGGCAATCTTTTTTATGACATGGAAAGCTGAGTGTTGTGCTGCCAGGTTGCCGCTTCTCCTCCTCGCCCTGCATCTCCCTGCTTCACCTCGCGAGGACCTTGATGGTGTTGGATAGGATGTTGGGAAACATGAGAACTCTATTTTATCATGTGCTACAGTGTATGTTCTTTACCTACTTTTGGAATACCTTTAAGACTCAATTACAGTGACAACATGTCATGGGACGGGGGTCACATTCGCCCCTAACCCAGGGTCACATTCGCCCCTAACCCAAAAGGGGTCACTTTCGATACTATCCATATGTTGCTCAACCTTTTAGGGTAAAACCTGGGGACAAGGGGACATTTAGGGGGACTGGGGTTCCTTTAGGGGGGACTTGGGGGCATATGTTAACTTGCCTCTCTACTCAATATGTTACTCAACCTTTTAGGGTAAAACCTGGGGACAAGGCGACATTTAGGGGGACTGGGGAACCTTTAGGGGGGACTTGGTGGCATATGTTAACTTGCCTCTCTATTCAATATGTTACTCAACCTTTTAAGGTAAAACCTGGGGACAAGGCGACATTTAAGAGGACTGGGGAACCTTTAGGGGGGACTTGAGGGCATATGTTAACTTGCCTCTCTATTCAATATGTTACTCAAACTTTTAGCGTAAAACCTGGGGACAAGGGGGCATTTAGGGGGACTGGGGAACCTTTAGGGGGGACTTGGGGGCATATGTTAACATGCCTCTCTATTCAATATGTTACTCAACCTTTTAGGGTAAAACCTGGGGACAAGGGGACATTTAGGGGGACTGGGGAACGTAGAAACATGTAGAAACCAAAGCATCTTCGAAGTTGATCGAAATGGCTGTTGGAACGTATAGCATCCATAGCGTCCTGGAAGTTGCTTGAAATTGCTGTTGGGACATAGCATCCAAAGTGTCTTCGAAGTTGCTCAAAATGGATGTTATCACGTAGCATCCATAGCGTCGTGGAAGTTGATTGAAATGGCTGTTGGAACGTAGCATCCATAGCGTCCTGGGAGTTGATTGAAATGACTGTTGCAACGTAGCATTCAAAGCGTCTTTGAACTTGCTAAAAATGGATGTTAAAACGTAGCATCCATAGCGTCGGCGCAGTTACTTGAAATGGATGTTACCACGTAGCATTCAGAGCATCCGGGAAGTTGATTGAAATGACTGTTGCAACGTAGCATCCAAAGCGTCTTTGAACTTGCTCGAAATGCATGTTACACCGTAGCATCCATAGCGTCCTGGAAGTTGATTGAAATGGCTGTTGGAACATAGCATCCACAGCGTCTTCAAAGTTGCTCGAAATGGATGTTACAACGTAGCATCCATAGCGTGCTGGAAGTTTCTTGAAATGGCTGTTGGAACGTAGCATCCACAGCATTTTCGAAGTTGCTTTTCCAACATAACACGTGAAAATGACTCTCTGAAGTGGAAAAGATCCTTTCGAGGCTCTGAAACTATTGCGCCTGCCACACAAAAGCAGGGGTCACATTCGCCCCTAACCCAGGGTCACATTCGTTTCTACCTTTACTTAAGTTAGGGGCAAATGCGACCGCAGATGGGTTAGGGGCAAATGCGACCCCCGTGCCACATGTCATGCTGAAACAGTGTTGATGCACCCTGATGATGCAGAGCCCACCTGACATGAGATTTCAACAATTGATATCATGTTGCACGAATAGTACACTTTTGCATTGGCAGTGTGATGCAGGCATTGGCACTGACCTGGAGGACCGTGGAAACTTCCACGGGAACTTTGCTCCGCGTCTTTCAAGTGAAACATTGCCGCTTCTGTGCGTGAAGCTGGCTGATCAAGCTATAGATGGAACATCTATGGGCACATCCTCAGGCACAGGCAAGTGAAAAGATGAAGGGAAACCAGGGGGAAACTTTGGGAAATCTGGCGTGTCTTCGTCTCCAAGCATGTTGCCCCAAACCAATTGCACCTTTTCTATAGACCACTGGTTGACAGTGTTGAACTCCAAGGCCACGAGGCAGGTATTTGCCTTTGTATATGTCTTGGTGTTGTCCAAACGCTCCAGCGACATGAGCCAGTCAACATTGGTCTCTCCATATCGAAGCGGGACACCGGAGTAAAAGCACCGACCTTGTTGAGCCCACAGCATGCCCAAGACATCATCCAGCTCGAGCTCAAAGTCTCCCTGCCACCTGCCCAGATTGTGTCTTCCACGTGCATTTGCAATCATTTTCCACACGGCCCCGCGCAGAGTCTTCATGTCCTTTGTCCGTGTGTATTCACCTCGGCATTTTTTGCAGAGGCAAGAGAAATTGCGGGTGGTTCTCCAGTTGGAGGCAAACTGGCACAAAGGCTGCCAAATCCCACAAATTGAGCACTTCAAGGTTCCCGGCTCTGCGCCAAGCGCATCTTCTGTGCAAAATTTCCCCTTGTTTCCGCACACATTCTCTGACCCTGCGGCAAGGTCAATCTGCCTGCGTAGGTTTTCCAGGTCAACATTCATACCTCGCACGGGTCTCAACTGCTCCACCTTCTGCTTTGACCACTGGCTAGATCCCTGGAGTACTGCATTTTTGCTGATCCGTACCATTGAGTTAAACTCCTGCGAGATCAGTGCCACATTGTGGGGCAAGTAGCCCAGCTGGTTGTCCAGCCTTTCCAAAGACATTAGCCAGTCAGCGCGAGGGCCCACCAGCTCCATATGCACTCCTGAGTATGCACACATGCCCTGTTGCTCTAAAATGAAATCAAAAAGGAAATCCCAATCCAAGTCGAAAGGCATGCCTCTTTGCTTGGAGCGATGCCGAGCATCGGAAACTAACTTCTGCACCTTGTAGCGAAGAATTGTGCGGTAGTCAAGCTCATCGGAGGCGGCCAAGGCCTCATCGCCCAGTCTGCTGCAAGGTGGCGCTTGTCTCGGGCGAGGCCCTGGCCTCCGCCGCCGCCGCGCCTCATCCACCAGGTGTTGCAACTCCTCTGCATTGATTGGTCTCCCAGCAACCAGGGCAAAGGATCGACTAGGCAGTCCCGCTGTGAGGACAGCCCAGCACCGGCGAGATGCGAAGTACAGCATCTTTGATGGAGATTTCTGGATTGATTCAGCAAGCCTTAAAAGTCTTAAAGTATGCTGCTGCCCTGTTATTATCCGTTATTGTCCAAGCTAAAGACTGTTGTATGTTATTTGATGTCTCTTGGTGCTGGCTTTTGCCCCAGATGCATGTGCAGGACATATATACTTCTACAGGAAGAAATGAGCCCTAAATGTCAACATGATAAGTGAAGCTGATGATTGTCAGCTTGCTAGCCGACACAAATTTTCCAATGCACAAAAATCCCATGATTCTGACGGTTGGACTTGTTTTAGGGCTGGATCAGGCCTCATGAATGTAAATCGGAAATCAAAAGCGCCACACATGCACCACCGACAGGTCTATAAGCTATGAACTGATACCGTGCTTCCTCCCACTTCCTCTAAAACCCGCCCCGTCCTCCATCCCACTGACGTCATGCCACCCAGCTGCAGCACCATCATCACCATGACCGTTGCACAGGGCACCATATAGTCAATAGTCGGCTGGCAGGACATCTTGACGCCTGGGGCGGCTTGAGGCAGGTCGCATCGTTGGGATTTTTGGTCATGACTTGCCTCTTGCAAAATCTAGTGGACAAAATGAAAGTAAAAGCTTGGTCTTGTGACCTTGCCCCACGATGTTGGGTCCAGTTTGGGACCCACAAACACATCAACGGAAGCAAATCATGCAAATCTAGCGTGGGCATGTGTGGGCCCAAGTTCGGCAAAAACTAATGGAGATATATAAATCGAGTATCTCTTGGGGAGAAACATGCACGTCATGATATGTAACCAGTGTCGCAAGATAAACATGGATAAACCAAGGGTTCCATCTGCTTGTTGTGTTTGGTATTCGGGCCAAGGACTCACAATAGTTGGCCCTGGCAATTGCTACCAAAATGCCGAAGGTAAAAGCTACGAAGCTACGCATGATTCAGGCATATTCAGCTGTTGGGGGTTCAGTATGCATAAGGTATTCTTTGATCTTGCTGCAACCATTGCTAGATTGATACCACCCCCCCCGCCAGCCAGCCGAATTGCAGTTGTCTACAAACACTTGCACCAAAAAAAACATCCTCGAAAACTATGACCGTTTCATCTTCCAAGGCAATCTTTTTACGAAATGGACAGCTGGGTGTTGTTGCTATCAGGTTGCCACTTCTCCTCCTCGCCCTCCATCTCCCTGCTTCACCTCGCGAGGACCTTGGTGGTGTTGGATAGGACGTCCGGAAACATGGGAACTTCGGCAAGCACAAAGGAGGCAAAGAAAACAAATGAGACTGTATATACTTATGATAAAATTAAACTACGTTTGGAATACCTGCAAGACTTCACAGTGACAACATGTCATGCTGAAACGGTGTTGATGCGCCCCGATAATGCAGAGTCCAGCTGACATGAGACTTCAACATTTGAATCATGTTGCACCAATAACACACTTTTGCATTGTCAGCACGTTGCGCGCATTGGCACTGACCTGGAGGACCGTGGAAACATCCACGACAGCTTTGCTCCAGCTTTGAAATCTTTGAAGTGAAACGTTGGTGCTTCTGTGAGGAAGCCAACTGAACAAGCGATAGAAATCGATAGAATAGCACTGCTGCATGCTAAGGAACAGCCAGCTGAAAAGATGAACTCAAATCAGGATAATTCTTTGGGATTATATAAATCTGGCGTGTCCTCGTCTCCAAGCAAGGCGCCCCAAATGAACTGCACCTTTTCGCTAGACCACTGGTTGGCAGTGTTGAACTCCAAGGCCACCAGGCAGGTATTCTTCCGTGTGTATGTCTCTGCGTTGTCTAAACGCTCAAGCGACATAAGCCAATCAACATTGGACTGTCCATATCGAAGTGGGACACCGGAGTAAAAGCACCGGCCTCGTTGAGCCCACAGCATGCCCAGGACATCATCCAACTCGAGCTCAAAGTCTCCGTGCCACCTGCCCTTTCTGTGTCTGTCATGTGCGTTGTGAACCATTTTCAGGATAAACCCACGCAGGGTCTTCATCTTCTTCGTCCATGCGCATTCACCTCGACATTTCTCGCAAAGGCAAGAGAAATTTCGCGTGTTTATCCAGCGAGGGGAAAATGGCACAAAGGCCGCCAAATCCCAAAGTGAGCACTTCAAGGTTCTCAGCTCTGGGCCAACCAGATTTTCTATGAGGAATTCCTCCCTGTTTCCGCAAACATTTTCAGACCATGTGGCAAGTTCAATCTGCCAGCGTAGGTTTTCCAGGTCAACATTCATACCTCGCACGGGTCTCAACTGCTCCACCTTCTGCTTTGACCACTGGCTAGATCCCTGGAGTACTGCGTTTTTGCTGATCCGTACCATTGAGTTAAACTCCTGCGAGATCAGTGCCACATTGTGAGGCAAGTAGCCCAACTGGTTGTCCTTCCGTTCCAAAGACATTTGCCAGTCAGAACCACAGAGTAGCAGCTCCAAATGCACACCAGAGTATGCACACCTGCCTTCTTGCTGCAAAATAAGACCAAAAAGAAAATCAGTGTCCAGCTCGTAACCGTTGGACCTACGCGAAGCACCTAATCGCGCAATGTAAACCAACAATTGCACATTTTGCCGGAGAGTCTTGGCTTGTCCGGGGCGGACTCCTCGCTTGCGCGGCCGTCGCGCCTCATCCACCAGGCGCCGCAGCTCGTCTCCGTCCAACCGCACCCCGGCTGCCAGGGCAAAGGACCGACCGTGCAATCGTTGTGTCAGAACAGCCCAGCACCGGCGAGATGTAGAGGATATAAAGGATAGCATGTTCGACCGAGATGTCCTGCTGAATTCAGCAACTCTCAAGGCATAGCCGTTTTTGTTACTTTTCTACTTGAATAACATAGTACATAGCCCCTATAAATCTATGAATGTCTTTATGTATGCACGGACGGTGAACTGTAATCCCAGAATGATCAGGCAAGCTGGTGATGTGTCCACAAATCCCCACAACCACTGCATTGCATGCCTACGGCAAGGAATACCTCGCCAGTGATTTGTGCATGCATTGTCTGTACTTGCTGTCTTCTTGTTTGCTGATTCCAGCTGCGCATCTGCGAATTATCAAACATGATCAAACATGTCATGCGCAGGTAAAATGGCCAAACCCATCGCTGAGCTTGATGTACCAAACAATGATTCCGACCAGAAAGAGCCGTGGTGATCAAGGCTCAACAAATAACAGTTGGTCATAGTTGGTCCCTAGTCCAAACGTAAGTTCAAAAATGGCACCACGTGCACCACCAACAAAGCAAATTCTACAACAAACCCATTACTTCCCAACACTTCCAACACTGTCCCCCATCACCCACATGGCCACAAGCATTACGCCCTCCACCACCCTACTTCAGCCATGCCACCCGACTGCAGCAACATCACCACGGCGATCATTGCACAGAAAGGCTGAACATCTTGACACCTGGGCAGCTTGAACACGTCACATTGTGGAGATTTCAAATGGTGGCTTGCCACTAGCACAAATCAGATGAAAACATTTGCAAATAACAGCTCCAGTCTTGTTACCTTGCCCCAGGATGTTGAAGGCAAATTAGGACCAACTGACACATCAACGGCAACAAATCTAGGCTGAACCCAAGTTTGGCAAACACTGGTGGAACGTCCCTTAGAAAAACCATGGACGTCATCATATGCAGGTGGTATCGCAGGATGGATACACAAAGGTTTCCATGTGCATGTTGTGTTTACCAAGAGGTGCTTGGGCCAAGGACTGACAAAAAATGTCCCTAGATGGTCCTGCTTAGCAATGGCTACAGTACCAACATGCCAAAGGTAACAACTGCTGATGATTCAGCCATGTTTAGTTTGTTTTTTACAAGGGTAATCAATTGACCACGTCCTCACCGAGGTACTTGGCTGATGTCAGATCAAGGCTTGGAGCACCTGGAAAGTGGAAGAGTGAACAGCCTCCAGCCTCTTGGAACCCAAACACCGGCATATGGGTACAGCATGTTGGTGACAGCCTATAATAGTCTATAATATGACATGTTGTAAGAGCGGTTTTGGACATTTCAAAGAAGATCAGAGTGGCATGGGATTCGGTGACATTGTTCAAGTTTCATCCTCCTGGATTTGCCAGAATCCACGCAGCCCTGGTTTACTACCCTTTCCAACCCAATAACAGGCTTCAAGAGTTCACCGATCATAGGTGATGATACGTAAATCTTATCTTATGCATTTTTTCTGGCATGGACACTCACCAGATTCACCAGCAAGAATGGACATATTAACAAATGACTTGGACATATAAACATTCATTAACTTTCCAACCTGAAACAAGGTCCTTGGTTCCCCTTGATGGTAAAACCCACTGAGATCATTCTGAGTTCGCTGCACTTCACCCAGAAAAAAATAAACAATGTATAACTTTGGCAAATCAACATGTATATTACAGCTGGGCTATATCATGATTATATACTATATATATATATATATATACTCCATTTACTAACAGGGATGCACGTCCAAGGTGCCACGTCCTACCCCGCCTTCTTTGTTCTCACAGGTCCACCGTCCAGTTTTTCTGCCGCTGCTCCAACGAAGGCGGCTTGCGCTCGCGGTTGGCGAAGTCATAGAGGGGGTTCCTGAGACGTTTTTAACAGAGCATAATCATTAATGGTGATTTGGTGTTATCTAATTGAAATGGCGATGGATTATCAGTATGATGGACTGACTCATTACACAGGAATAGAGATTTGTTTCTTCATGCTCCTGTTAGACCAGAGTCGGCAGGCTCCTGGCATTGCAAGATTGTAGATGGATTGCGTTCAAGCTACCGTATTGAAATTGGATATAAGCAACTCACATAATCTTGATTTTTGAACACCTGGCTCTCCCCCACTACGGCCTTCTCTCTTCTCAAAATCACTGATTGTTTTTCATCCAATTCTATGTTCTTTCCACTCCAGTACTGACTTGCAACGCCGGAAATTAGGTGGGCACACCTAACATTGTGTTGCAGGCAGCAGTGTCAATGTACAATATCTTCACCCCATCTTTCCCTAGTTGATAAGGGTCCTGGTGCCCTTCTAGTAAACGGACCTCCATTCCCAGCAAAGAACTTATCGGCATTTTCAGGTTTTGATCCATTGCTATGTACACCGTCATTAGTTGTTTTATAAACCCATCAAACTTTTAGCTGTAACATTTATATGTATATATGTGTGTATATATATATATGTGTATATATATATATGTGTATATATATATATATGTGTATATATATGTGTATATATATATATACATACATATATATATATACACATATATATATGTATATATGTGTACGTATGTATATATATATATATATGTAATATATATATATATATATGTGTGTGTATATCCAAAACAAACATAAACATACCACATAAAACCTAAGTCTTGGATAGTTTTGACCCATTGCCATCATGGCAGCCCGCAAACGGTCAAACCGCAACCCAGGAACCACTGCGCCGCTGGATCCGTGATGAAGCGCTGCGGCACCTTGTAGGGGGGTTGCAGGATGCTGGATGGGCTGAGGCAGGTGAGTTCTGGGACATCTTTTCTGGGCGATTGCATTGTTTCATATAGATTTTATATACATATATACATTTACATAGGTTGATACTTGCGCATTTGAATGATTGTTTTTGTATAGCTTTACAATAACTCTACCAGTTATGCATTGATGTTCCTAACATGTTCCAGGGTACGCTTGGAAGTCGTGTGAGTAAACACGAAATCTTGATGTCCCAATACATGTCCCATATGGTACGCATGTTTCGACATGTTTGGTAGGATCGCATGAGGTGGCCATGGATGCCCATCTTCCCAGGCCGCGGCTACTCGTCCAAGCCAAGGGACAAGGACACCCACTTTACTTGGCAAGATGTTGCCTCAGCCAAAGTGGCCAAGAGGTGATCCCAGTTTTTCTCAATTTATCTGTGTTGATAAGTTGACCTGGCTGTTGGAAGTTCCCTTAGTTGATTTAAAAAAACATCTACCATCTTTTTATTTAACAATATTTAACATAGCCTTGGAAAGATCCACCATTCTTAATAGGTAAACCATCTATTTCTATGGGGCCTATGGGCCATCTATACCATGGCTATGTAACAAATAACTAGAGGGTACAGATCGAGGATGTCAGGGATGTTCCATTGCACCTTTGACTTACCAAGGGTTAGCTCCAACATCGGTCTATTTCTTTGTCATGCTTCTAGCTCCGTTGCGGGGATATGGCGCAAGAAAAACCATTCATATGGTTATATAGCTATATACATAAATATATATGGTGATATATGGTTATATTTGGTTATATATGGCTATATACGTTCCCAGCTACATCCTGGCATCAAAGAAGTCCCAGCCACCCTGGTCGACCAGCAGGGTCATCCAGTGGTGAAAATGGATCGCTCCTTGGAGCACCCGGTCATATCCCGGTGAATGGTGAAAATATGCTACCATCTGGTTATTTAACGTAGCCATGGAAAATAGCCCATTTATAGATGATTTCCCATTAAAACCTCCATTTATAAGGGATTTTCCATGGCTATGTTAAATAACCAGAGGGTAAATTATGGGGGTTTAACAGGGGTTAACCTGTCAACCAAGGATGATTTAGCAAATATCAAAACATGTCAAAACTGTAGTCAGAATATATGAATATTGTGTCTCTTCCTATACAAACCATGAAAATGTATATAGATCCAAGACCAAACCAAGTTTTCAAAGATGTCTAGGGGAGTACTCAGAATTCGCGGGAAGAAATTCACCAGGGCTATTTATCACTCACTGGGATGATCCGGTGATCCACCGGGCCTTCAAGACCGAAACAATTTATCCTTGTTGGTAGCTTCAAATGCCGAACATGGCGGTTCCATATCAAATGATGGGTGTTTGGGAGTTCCTGGGGGTTGAGCCACATCCAAAAGGTACTTTAATGGCGAATCCTTGATCTGCATCCAGCCCCAGCAGGATGCCATGGGTCAAGGAACCTTTCCAGATCTTTTTTGGCGCAGGATCAGGTACAGTCCATGCACGCTTCGGGGACTTGGACTTCAAGAATTGCTAGGGATGAATGGACGCAAGAAAAGTCCAAAGTCATCCATACCTATTTAGTTCCCTGCATGAAACACGTGCATTCGCAGCCATGTGAAACCGCTCAGACTGGCTGCATTGATTTTCATGGCTACCAACTCACAAAGCCCTACATGTGTTGGGAAATCCCAGCGTGCCCACAACAAGTGGTTCAAAGCCATATGACATTATGATGTGTAAGTTCAGAACCTGGGGATAAATGGGATATCCCCGATGGGAATCAGTTGCTACAGCAAGTGGGATGCACATCCGAGCACAAACCCTTCAAAACCATATCTTGCGGATGTGTGTTCAAACCCAAACCTTCAATTTAAATCACTGTAGATCCATTTTCTCAGCATGTCCCAGAGATGTCTTTCACCATTAAAATCAGCCACTTATAAGAAACAGGCATCTGCAATTACGACCCCCATCTTTGTCCGCCAACAAACCCTTGCTGTGGGTCAAAGCCGTTGAAAAAGCCCTCAAATTGCGGATCAAAGATATCCATAGATATCCTCTTAAAGAAAACATCAAGACACTGTATACTGAGGAAATAAGGCAAAAACCTTGGGAGTTCTTGGGAAATCCCACCCTTGCGGGACAGGTCACACCGAGCCGAGCTTCCCTTCGCTTCCTGCAGAACGTCCCAGATCGCGGGCAGCGCTTCACCTGGGAAGACCTGCAGGACGTCTGAGATGCAAAGGCCGCCGCCTAGGGACAGGACCGGGCTTGGAGCCAAACAAATAGGTGGGTGTTTATAGGGTTTTACATGGTTTTACTCAACAAATAGAGGTTTTATAGATTATAGTTTCTATTTTATTTTAAAGGTTATTGTTATATTTATATCGTAAACCTCTATTTCTTGGGCAGATAGAAAAGGTCCAATGTACGCCCATTTATCAGCCTATTTAGAGTCAGATTAAAATATTAAATTTTACAATATTGTATAATGCTTTTCCGCATCTTTTAGGGGTGGTGGAAGTGGGATTGAAACCACTGGCCATTTTTTCACCCAAAGTATATCCTATACTGGTGGTTGATCCATGTTTTGGATGGAAGCATCCCCAATTTCTATCATTCATTATACAATCCACTTGAAGTCCATGGCAGTATCAAGTAGGGTCAGTAGGGATCATTGAATCCCACCCAGGACCATGCCTGTGGGCTCTGATTCGAATCTCTCGGACATAAATAAATCGTGACTGGTTAATCTTGCTTCAGGTATGAAATGCTGTCATAATGCTGTAGCCATCTTTAGCCAACCTAGCACCACCTTTCGGGCTGAAATTGAAGCCTTTTCCAGAAAAAAAAACCTTTTAGATCCTTGGGCTGAAAATTAGACCTAGGGTGGATTTTGCCATTCAGTCAGATTTTGCCATTATAACCAGGGCAGGCTCAAGGATTATTCCTGATATTTTGATGTTGAAAGACGATAGTCGGTCGTATTTACTCACTATTCGGTCAGATTTTCCCGAACTGCGTGGTTCTGATGTTTCTTGAATAAAGCTGCCTCGTAGTGAAAACACCATGCTCAAAAAGGCGGCAGATTTTTGGGACTCCGGCGGATTTTAAGAACTTGGGCAGACAAAACCGCCTTTTTGAGCGGCTGAAATTTAAGTCTGAGGAGTTGGCCCTAGGTATACCTCCAACAAAACCATTCACTTGGCGAATTTGCAAACCATCGAAACGTGGTATGATTTCGTCCATGTTAGGCCGGCCCAGCGAAACATAGCGAAAACCACGGCGTGAAACTGCCAGGGTGACAAGGCACCCACATTCTTGGAAAAGGAGTTGCCCTCGCACCAAAAGGGCGCCAGAAATTCCTGCCCAAGGGATCCAAGGGGCAGAAGGAGCCCCACTATGAAGGGGCCGGAGGTCACTTCCCGTTTCTAGCAATGGCAAGTTGCTTATTGTTCATCCATCTCAAAGGCAAAATGTCATCTTCGAAACGGCCCATTAAATTCCTTATGACTCACATAACCGATTCCACCTCTGAGCCCGAACTACGGCTATTTCACAGAATTCTCCATAGCTTCCCAACCTCATCACCATATATCACCATGAATTACACAGAATTCTCCATCAGCATTCGTTACACTGAAAACCACATGAAAAAAACATATAACAATCCCATATGCCAACCCATCTTCAGGCCCAATTGTTTACCATCTTTTAATATTTTTTACCCAACCCATCATTTGGCACCGCAGCATCCCTGTGGCGTGCCGTTCCTGTCCCCGACGCCAGGCGCGTTGCAGGAAGGGACCCAAGGAGCGCTTCAGAACCAGATCGAAGCGGAGCAGCACCACGGGGCCAAGGCCTAGGCCCCGAGCAGCAAGAAGTGATGGTCATAACAGGATATGATGGGGTAATGTGGCTTATAACATGTTATAAACCATGAACAATTGGGAAAAATGTGAAAAATATGGATTTAACCAGGAAAAAAAACATGGGATTTAGTATGTATGATTTAGTGCGATACCATTGTGTTTTTGATGGGGTAAAAGGGGGTGCTGAGGTTTCATTGGACTGGCTCAGGAAAAATTAACAGGAAAACATCGCTTTTACCCTGAAACTTGTGAGGTTTCTGAGGCTTTCCTGACAATTTGCCAAAGATCGCCATTGCAAAATGTGATTGGTTATCAAATCATTCCCTCTCGCCGGATGAGTTGCTCAGTTGCCTTGGAAGGAGTCTATGACTTTTTGCCTAAGGGGTTTGCAAGTATCTTCAAGAAAATTCGCTCAAACTGGCAATGCCAGTAATCTTCCAGTTAATTATTGGGGACGTGGGTTTGCCAACCAGAAAACCTTTCGTGGTTTCACCCTTTCCGACGAATATTAGGCTTTCCCAGTGAGGCCAAGTCGCAGGCTGGTGGCTGGTTGGTCCCATCCAACAAATTCAAGGCCGCTTGCAGACCTGGGACGAGAGCGTAGCTTCGACTGCAGCCACTGCAGCCGCAGCATTGGGAAATTGAAGATGGTCGGGGCTAGACCTTGGGAGTAGCCATTGATCCTAGACATATTGTAATCTCTTGTGCCGCATGACGAAACCTATTCTTTTGGGACATAGTGGACACTGTTCTTCAAAATCCTGAATCATTGAAACATTGCCACCTTAAATGAACATCTTGGTTGACCATGTTGACCAATCAAAAAACATTTGTGCGCTGATGACTTAAATCCTCGTCGGTAGCTCCACTCTCCTCACAACCGGTCAGTTGGGATCATCATCCCACGAAGGCGTGCAAAGACCATTCCGATTCCAAACCAACATAGTTCTCCCATAAAAGCCTAACACATCCCCATAACTATCTAATAATATAATATATATTTATATAATACTAATAAATAAATATATATATGATAATAAATATAAATTTTTAATATATATATATAATATAATATGTATATATAATAATAGATAACATTTATATATATATGATAATATAAATAAAATTTAATATATATATATAGAAATAAAACATAAATATAATATAATATATATATAATATATAGAAATCAAAAATAAATATAATATAAATATATAATATTTAAAGTATAATATATATAATATACATACATACATACATATACATACATATACATACATATACATACATATACATACATATACATACATATACATACATACATACATACATACATACAAACATACATCATGAAGCATGCATTGCATACATGCATACATATACATACATACATACATACATACATACAAACAATATATGTCTATAATAAAAATAATATAATATACAATAAAAATATGATATATATAATATATATATAACACATATATATATATATATAATATAAAATTATATATATATATATATATTATAAAAATACATATATAATATAATATATATTAGACTAATTACCAATGTTTAATGGCTACATCAGCCCCAAAAACCCCAAAACATCTTTCATCCCCAGGAAAATCTAGCCCAACATCCCCCCCCCGAGGCACCTTCGAATTGCGACCCCGGTGGCGTCATCAACGTGAAGTTCTGCACCAAGTGGTGCCCGTAGGCCTCCTATGGATGCCCAGTGGACCCTTCTGGGGGGTTTTAGCTGTCCGGCATCATTGTCATGAGTCGTACTGTAGTCCCCTCTTAAAACTGCAAAAACATACCAAAAAATTGGGATGACACGGTGCTACACTGCTATACCTCAATTTCAGACCCAAATTCCTGGCAATGACCATGATTTCTAGGTGATCATGGCCTGTAGCCGCTCCACATAGGGTGTAGCATAGGTGGCCCCCAAGACCTGCACCTCGTAGCCCAAGTCCTTCGGCGCATCTGTCAGTTCAATCGGATTTAAGAAAACAAATTACTTGGAACACCTTGGAACCATGGACACCAAAAACATCCAAAACATCTGAGGGAACCATTTTGAAACCATTTCACCACCAAAAACATCGCTTTCCTGTAAGTTTTCCCACCAATTCTGAGAATCGTGTCTCAAAATGATGCGGTCCGCCAAAAACATGTCGTTAAACAACGTTTAGACATATAGTATCCATGTCGAAACCATACATAAAAATAAAGTATCAATTTAGTATCAATCCACCTTTGTGTTGTTTGGAGAAGGGGGAGGGGTGGGGGGTGTGGGGCAGAAATTACACACATATCCCATATCCAGTTGTAGGCTAATATGATGATGGGATCTAACCAACAAATATTGGAAAGCTTGCCGATTAACATGGACACGTCGTCGACAAACCATGGAGCCGAAAGGAACAACTGTAGACGGAATCAATGACCATGCGCATCATTAACAGCTAGCACGCTGATAAGGACAAACCATGGCCATGGAAGCTGAGACATGCTGAGATATCCGGAAAAAAAGGTGCAGCTTGATTACTTCATATTCCTCCACTGAGGTGTGCCCAAAAACAGATATCCCCGTTCCATCCCGTGTTTCATCATCACGTTTCCTTTCAAATTGCCACAAACTGGTGTAAGTCCCGAAATAAACCCATTAGCAACTGATCGGTGACCTAGCAATCCACAACAACAGGTGTATTATTCAGTTGCAACATGAATACCGTGGATGAACACAATCCTGCGCCAGTTGATAATTACTAACCTGTGAAGAAAAGGATAAACCATCTATTAGCCTTTCAAGATCCACGAAACATCAAGCAAACATGGAACCCATATATTTATAACCGAATCCACTACGACCTGGGCCCCCTAGTTATAAGTTGGTAATAAACCATCCATTTACATCCATTAACTATGACATCGTTCGTAGTACCCTCCTGCCATAAACATAAACCATAAGAATTCAGTGAACTAACCCAACTTCGATCAACTTAGCTGTCGTTAAATGTCGTTAACGGATGGCCCCTTGAACCGCCTCGGTGCAACCGGTCCTCCAGCGGATACACCAAGTGCTCCATGTGGGACATGGCCGCCATCATCTGCTCCAGTATTGACTCCGGTAGACCCGAATGACCTGGAGCTTGGAATGGGAAATCAACTTGGTGGCTTCACCACTCAACAAATGGGATGAACCAAGGAATATTATGGAATATTATGGAATATTCACGTATAGGTTTTTAACAACCAACTATATGATTCAACATGATTTTACCGTTGAACCGTTGAACCGTTTAACCATTAAACATTGGGATTTCATGGGATATTAATAGCTATATATATATATATACCTGGATCTTCAAACGCCTAATGTATTTTGACCCTTTTGGTTGTTTACCAATTATGGTTGAAACCGCCTAGTTTTTTTGGGATCGTCATCAAAAACTGAAACGCCCAAAAACCATGGAAATTGGATAATTTTGAATGTTTCATAATATTGTCCTCCCGTCTCCCGCGCATGTAAGTAGCAATTTTTGAGGCTGCCAGAGTAGTGCATTGTAGTTGGGTATGCAGGTCTGATTCCGCAACCCCGCCTACTTTTTCTGTGCAAAGCACTTTGGCACAGAATCTGCAAAAAAGAAAAAAACACGACCAAAACGCCCCGCAAACATCCCGCAAAAATCCGCAAAACGCCCGCAAAAACCCGCAAACGCCCGCAAACCCAGAAAACTGGGTTTTTAGCTTGTGTTTACACATAGTAGCTGGTTCCGTAGTAGTTTTTGAAAGGCATCGAGATAAAAAGTAGTCAGTATAGGAGTCAGAAATAGCACCCACGTAGACAAGCAGGAGTGACCTGGATTTTAAGGTAGAACCAATGGAAGGCCAGACGCATCGCCTATTTTCTTCGCATATCGCCTAGTTTTCATCAAGTTCGTATGTGTTTTTTGTGAAACGCCTGGTTTTCGAAGAACCGACCAAACAAAATAGTACCGACACAAACGACCAAAATATTTTGGTAGTATGAATTTCAAGGTATATATATGTTACCCAACGATATTCAATTTGGTTTTGTCTGAAAATAGGGTAGTCACCCCAAAATGTCATGGTTCATCAGCACTTTGCCTGTTCAACCGGTCATTTTGGCACAGCATGGGATACAGTACATCAATAACCAACCCTTCGCCAACGTATTGATGCAGAATTCCACCGCATTTTCGAAAGCAATTTCCACCAGGTTTCATGGTGAAGCCTCCAAAATGCTCATGAAACCCTTCCTTGGGGATGCAGAGGTCATAAATAGGCACAGCTGCATAGCCACCTCCTAGTTGGATTAAGTTCCAGTATATAATCCCATTATAATCCCATTATGGCCATTTCTCTCTCCATCGCCATCTTCTTCAGGAACTGCACCCCAACAGAGAGCCCCTGCCCAGACTGCCCCGCCTTCCTTGGTGGCCAAATCCCCTCGTCGCCAGACGAAGCTCCGGCCTCTCAAGACGACCCGTGCCACGCCTGTGCGGGGAAATCAACCAGAAATACCGCAGGAGATGCTCAATAAGTATCAAAGTTCATAGTTGCCCGGCACCCAAGTGGAATTAACCAGAACAGGCAGCAAGGTACAGCCCCTGCCAAGTGCTGCGTAGCATCTCCCTTCTACGGTAAGGTTACTGAGCAACGGTTGCCGATGGCTTCCCAAAAAGTTTCTAAAGTGATTTGTAGATGGTAAAACTAACGGTTTTCTCCTGATTCACCATCACTGTCAAATCAGGCTATATATTCAATTACGCACCAAAACTTTATTTCTACTCTTCACCAATGATTTCCATCCTTCGAGATTGAGATGGCAGTGCCAACTACACCATGGGAAGAACCACATCACCCATCAGCAAAACAGCCTCTGCCGCGGCACGGCGCCATCTTCTGGGAACTCGACAGCAGCGGCGGTCCCGGCTCAGCAGTCGATGTGGACGGTAGGAACTCTGTGAAAAAACACTTCTCTGCCTGCGGCACGTTTCAAAAGCCAACTGCCCGGCTCCAGTGATATCCTGGGAGGAGCCGGGGTCGAATTAGGGTCAAACCAGTCACCTCCAGCCAGGGATTCTCAAATTCCTAAGTTTCATGGATCCAGCCCCAGCCTCCGCAAAGGGTTGTAGTGCCACCAGCTGACTGACACGCTGAGGAAATGGAAGGAACGTTTCCAAAATGTCAAGCACGGGCCATGGGTTCCACAGCCTGTGAGGTGAGGCAAGACTTGGGGATTTATCGCTGGGTCATAATCAACTATAAGGATTTGCAGTAATCATAAACGGCATTTGATGGCTTGTACATGATGGAAATTCGGGGATTGAGTATGAATTACATATGATGGCTTACAAAACATGGATTTTTGTTGATTTTCTATGAATTATGACTCACTGAAGTGTATGTAATTGGCATTCTTATTGGGATATGCATGTGGCTAGGGGTTGATGCCTAGCATGATTCATTGGGATTATAACAGCCCACAACATTAGGATGAATACACTGAGATTTAGAACCAACGAGTCATTAATATTAATTATTGCAAATTAAGGGGATTAACATTCAAGTAGCATTAAGAATATCACATGGCAGTGGGCAATCCCTTTATGTCGGTGATTTCCCTACATGTTCCCATGAATACTGCTGGCTTTCCCAACGCCACGCATGTTTCGCATCTTGGATTTTCAGGCCGAGCCAAAGAAAATCTCAGCAGCTTCACTGCTGCTGACCCAAGGCCATTAACTCAGAGCTTTCAACAAAAACCATCCAAAAACCATCCAAAAACCATCCAAAACACAACCAAAAAAACATCGTTCTGAGTTCATCTAAGTTCTATCATGTGCTATCCATTCCTCAGATATTATTTTGCTGGTTGGTGGTTTTAACCATCTTGAAAAATATGAAAGTCAGATTGGATCATCATCCCAACTATTGGGGAAAATAATCCACATGTTCCAAATGTTCCAACCAGAAACTTCTTGTTTTCCTGGACTCCCCATGGATTCTGATATTCAGAATAAGTTTCTGAATCATTTGGATCATAGATTTCACCATTTTGGATGAGTTGGTTGATGAGTTTGGTTGATGATGAGTTTTTTTTATCACCAAACTCAGACCTCATCATCCACCGGTCCCAGTTGTCGCCGAGATCGCCGAGACACAGGAGATCCACCCAGTTCTCCTTCGCCGCGCGGCCCATGAACTCCACAGCTTGCTGGAGCCGTTCCTGGCAGCGTCAATTTGGCAACCTTTTTGAGGATACCAATGGGATATGATATGATGTGGTTATATATATGTATATATATATATATACTATACATGTATATTATATTTATATATGTATATGGTTGTATATGGTTATATATGGTTATATGTGGTTAGATGTGGTTAGATATGATATTTAATGTTGTTTAATATGGTTATATGTGGTTATTGAGTGGTTATAATGTGGTTAAAACAATGCCATTTTTACCACCCATGACTGGGAGTGGTTTACTTTATACCACCTATTTAAGTATGGTGATGACTGGGGGATGGTTTATGGCATTGTTTTAATCACATTATATGACATATTGCATTGTATGGCGATTTTATTTGACCCACATAGTCTGAAATAAGGCTATTCTGTGGAATAGTTACCCATGTAAAAACCATCATTCTAGTGACCTCGCTATGTGAGGTCGTACTAATATGTACTAATAATGTATCCAGAATTACGTTGTATGCTTATTGAGAGCTGTCAAGCTTTAACTAACATCCAACCAGTTTCGAATGCCAAGGTTGTCCTGAACAAAATCTTGGTGATGGGCCTTTGGCCACACCATATTATCTGACCATGGAACCTCACAATCTGGGAAGAAAAAAGAATCGAACATGCATTATACACCATGATATCCCTGAAAAACTGCAGGATTGTGGATAACTGGTGAAAAGTATAAAAATTGGACAACATCGGCCCCCTTAGCATTTCTTTTGGGCCCACATCCAGTTAGGATACCTTCTCCACTAGCCCCTTTCAGCCAAGCAAGCAAGTGCCGTCCTGGTTGCTGAGGGTGCGCAAGCCTGGAACGGGATTATGCTGCCACACTGATCCAGCATGACCATCCATCTTCCCAAAGAAGTCTTGTCAACTACCCTCTGGTTATTTAACATAGCCATGGTATAGATGGCCCATTTATATATATGGTTTACCTAGCTATAAAATGGTGGATCTCTCCATGGCTATGTTAGTCATAACCAGATGGCAAATATTAGTGCAAATGAGATGATAAATGGGACGATCAATGGGATTAATATCAGTCGGATACAAATTGGGAGAATAATGGAATATAGCTTGCGGATGCTTGCGGTAATCAAACATGGCTAGCTTCCAAATCACCGAACCAAATGGAGAGTTTTCCATTGCCACGTTTGATTACTGGAGGGTATAGTTAGTTCGGAGTTCCATCGCCAAATTTCATGGATTTGGACATGCCCAAGTTGATCGTAAATTCGCGTAGAAACAAAAACTAGCTATCTGTTATCAGGCGCCCTTGAAGTACTAGTTCTTAGCAAACACCCATTGCCAACCCACCCATCCCACTTTGTGGATCTTTGTGGTACAAGTATCGAGGCCATAGGGGCTCATCATCCCATGCTTAACCCATGTTTATGCATGCTTAAGCCATGTTTGGCAATGTGGCAAGTCCCAAACTTTTCACTCACCATTTTTGGGGTAGTATCATCATGATATACCAGGTGACCAGTGTGACTAGGCAAAAATTCGAGGACAAAATTGAAGCCTTACAGGCCTGCCATCGTCAAGCTGGCAGGGATCATGCAGCACTCCGAGCAGTTCTCGAAGGACTCCAGGTACCTGGCAGTACAGCAACACCCAAAAAAGATAGAAAAGAAAAATCCTATTTGCAGTAAAAATAGTGAGGAATTACTTTTCAAATATCTTTGCTTCGGGTTATCCAATAAAGAATGCCCAAATTTGGAACTGGAACAACTTTGGAACCAGTGGAATGTTCGTTGACTGTCCTCGAAGTCTTCAGAACCCTCACGTTTTCACATAGCCTCGGGTACGCCAACATGGGAATGGAAAATCCGTCATATCTACAGATGATTTTCGTATTGACACCTTCATTTCTAGTGGATTTTCCAGCCAGCCACGTTTGATTTCCGGATCAATCAGCTCCAAAAGAACTGAATAGAACCAGACCCGCATCTCTCAATTTCCGCGCGCACAACGGAAGGAATCACTCACCCGACACTACTTGACCGGTGCTGTACAGTGCGGCAGGGCGCAGGTTCCGCGGAGCCGCGAAAAATGCAGGACGAGCCAGCGCTGGGATGCCAATTGCCAGTGTCGACATAGAAAATGGCCCATAGAAATAGTTGTTTACCAAACTTCAAGATGGTGATTTTCCAGTTCGCAAACTGTTAGTTTACCAGAGGGATCCAGAGTCAGGTTAATTTGGAATAATTTGTGTTTTTGTACATGTTCCCGCAACCTGAATATATCCCGCAAATCATGCAGATCCGGCGGCTCCCCTACGACCTTCCTTGCATCCAAACTCCAAAGTGTTAGGATGTCCCATGCCAATAGAGAATAAGCGTTCATATTATCAGCATTTATCAGCTATGTATCATTACGTAGGGTACCACAGTGGAAGTTTTCACACTCAAGAATATCAGATGATCAAATCACGATTCGTTATTTTGAAAGCAATGATCTTGTCTTACTCATATGTCATACTCCTTTGCAATACCTGGTCTAGACATTTCACATCCCAGGGGCTGCTAGACAGATCGCAGTCGAATTCTACGCCCTCACAAAGCCTGGGCGTGGGTTTTCAGCTGGTTGCTGAAGATCGAAACCAAGATAGCCAAGAGCATGTAGGAGCCTACCTGATGGGCGCAGAACATTCACCATTCGGAGTGGACATCGTTGTAAATCTTGGATCGTGGATCAAAACCACATGGCATGGAAGCTCCTGCCCCATCCCACTTGGAGGATCATCCCACTAGCCCATAACGGCTTGGTAAGTGGGGTAATCATCCACTTCCACCTAGGATCACACACGAATCTGGGACTTAATGACCAGGATTCGGATCCTCCAACCCCCACACCTGGGAGGCCGCGAAAAAAGTGGTGTTCATCACCGCGCCAAGCTGTGCTCCGGTGCCCCGACCCAGCTGCAAAACGATCAGGTTCAGCGTGCCTGCAGCATCCTGCGGTCAGGTGTGGATTCAAAGAAATGAAGAGTGGGTGAATCACCACATACAGTATGGGCTATTCATGCTAAATATAACTATATAAATATGGTTTTACTAGAACATATTAATAATGAGGTGAAGCCAATGACACAAATCATCCCATTAATGAACCAACCATGGGGTCATCGAGCAGCTCCTTGAGGTGTGGCGCCACAATCTTCGGTGCCAGCGCGTATCCGTAGTTCTTCACCACCCCTGCGCTACGACGCGTAGCGGCGAAGGGGCTGGCAACAACTGCTGGGACTGGGAGTTGAGGCTTGGGTTCTTCCAGGAATATTGTTGAGGTCGGATGGAGGGCTGTGAGCTGCAACCCCCCCAAAAAAAACCATCAGTTTCACCGTGCTGCGATCTGCAAAAGCAAACGGGAAGCAAAACTAATCAGTTTGTACAGAAAGCTGGTTGAAGGTTGCAAGTAACTAGACAAGATGCATCACTTAGTGTGGATATGATCTTCCCAACAACACATAATTTAATTGACACAACTCTGGCTGCTGAACTCAGCACCATCAGGGCGCCCCATCGGCCTGAACAGGATTGCATCAGCAGAAAGCCAACCACGAAGATGGTGATAGAGGCTGTCGTCCACTCATGTCCCAAATAGAACGTCAGTGTTGCACCGATACCTGCGCTGGTTGGTAAATCCACAGCGACCTCATCCTAACGGCCCGGTTACAGAGGCCACATGTCATGTATCCACCATTTGGATCGACGATTTTCCCACTCAAAGAAATGCCCATTTATATTCATTTCTAGGGGGATTTTGAATCTAGACATGTTCGATGACACCGGAAGGTAACTTGTTTGGTGAATATTTTTTTCCGGCACAGAGACATGTTACCATCTACCTATACAATCATATAATCATTTTTTAAAAACAAATATATATATATCCTGCAACCTCTTCATCTCAGCCATGGCACAGGCGAGCAAGGAGCTGATTAACAACCCCCGACGATCTTCCACGTAGGGCGTCACGAAACTGCTGAGGAAACTCATCACAGCCACGACCTCATGGGCAGCTGATTTCGAGTCAATCCAAAAAAGGGGACAGCAATCGAAGAAACTCCAGCTAGTAGAGAAAAACGGATGACTAAAATGGATTAACCTCAACATGTAGACATTCCACGATCCAACCGGATAGTCTAAAGCCTAATGCCGATAGTAAGACAGTCACTTCAAAAAAAAGGTGCTTTCCAGGACCTGACAAGACGCAGCCTCAGATTGGAAGACTACCCCGACGGTGAAGCTCCGGGAGTTAATATGGATTACTCATGATGACTCCAATACTTGGATATCTGGTTGGTGGTATACCTACCCCTCTGAAAAATATGAAAGTCAGTTGGGATTATTATTCCCAATATATGGAAAAATAAAATTCATGTTCCAAACCACCAACCAGACTTGAGAGCAGGCGGAGGCGGACGAAAGGTAGTGTAGTGGGAGAGGAGTGGTGTCAAAATGCTGCGCCCCTAAGATGATACACCAAAAACTTTTTTGCGCAGTCTAAGATGATTTTTTCCAGAGCATGACTGCATGATACGGTGTCTTGTGCAGCGTGAAATGATGCACGAAAAGGGGTTTATTTAAAACCCCTTTTTAAGACCCCTTGCAGCAACTGTTATTGAGGCTGAAGCACACCAATTATGCTGGACTACAGGGACATCTCCCTCATGGAAAGTGTGCCTCTAATGTGGGGGCCCGTGACCGCGTCACCCGTGGGAATTGAACCCATGACCATTTTCGGGGGGGGGGGGGCCCCCCCCTTATAATTGATATCCAATACATAACGGCGAGAATTCCATGAATTCCACGGGCTGGCCCCCCAATACCCCCTAAGCTTGTGCTGAAGCACGGAGAACTCAGGTAGCTGACGCTACCTTTCGTGATATACATGGAGATACGTGGATCATTTACAATACCTACGTAGCTGGACTCCGAGACGACCCGGAGCCTGGAACCTGATCATCCAAAAATTCCCATGAAAGTGGCCATCAATTGCAGCCTAAGCCTCCTTTTTTCACACCCAAACAGGAGATATATAGATGGTGAATGTTGGTCACATATCCCATTATGTCCCAGTATAGCTCCAGTGATATCCCAGTAAATAGTACTAAATGTACCCACTCTTGATGATTAAATCCTTATATTAGGCCCACAGGATTTCAAGCATGCAGTGCCCAAGCTACAACCATAGCGCTGGCCAGCCAAAGACCCGTGGCGCTCACACTCAAATCCCAGACCTGGCATGTTGTCGCTTCAGTTGTGGCTAAAAACATCTGAAAATTCATCCAGTAACCAGGATTTGCCATGGTTTACCCAGGTTTCCCAACATTTATGGTGTTAACTAACCAGGATTTACCAAGGTTTACCATGGCGTGCCCAGGAACCGCATGGTGTGGAGCATTTTTCAACCATTTTTTTCGGCCTTCTCTGCCAGCTTCACGAAGAAAACGGTGCACATGGTGGTGGTCATAGGGCCTCATGGGAGGAACCCGAGAAACCCCAAAAACCGTACAGGGATGGGAGTAAATTTACCCACAATCCCGATGCGAAATCCCAGTGGGTCTAGTTATAAACCACAACATACCATAAACTCTCAATTTCCATTCTTGTTGGTTAAAACATGTCATAACCATATATATCTCGTAAAATCCCATAAACATATAAAAACAAACTATAAACATATATTTTACATTATTTTACTATATATTATTACTAATAGGACCTCTGGCACGTTCCTCTATACCTCCAGGTTTTGAGTCGTGGAATGTCGTGGACCAAGTGGCTGACGAAGGACCCCAGGAGGCAGATCAAGAAGCCCGGTCGCCACTTCTCCCCGGCGGCGTCGCTAGCGCTGGCAGCGCTTGCAGGAGATTGCGGTGCATCCACCGGCTCCTCAGGGTGTGGAGAGGAGGTGCGGTGGGAATCAGGCCTGTATAGAACATGGAAATTCATCTAAAAACTTGAAGAAAGGTTGAATATGGTTGGATAATATGATAAGATGAATTTTTGATATGATAAGATGACATTTTGATAGGAAATTTGCATCTTTGGGTTCCATGTGAGACTTGGAGGGCGTCAAGGAGAGAAGTGCTGGCAGTAGAATGACATTGTTCATCAAAACTGGAGTTCCAATCAGTTCCAATCGGTGAAACTCGTACTGCGCTGCTTTCTTCGGAAAAGGGAGCAAAGGACCCATCTCACAAGAACTTTCACATTGCTCTCTACAGATATGCTCAGATGTGGGGATTAGAGTGTCATGCCTCACAGTTCAGAACCAAGCATCCTGGAAAAAAAGACAATCAGCAGCATGTAAACGAAGTGCAATGCAGCCATAAACCAACCAGGGATGGTATCAGAATCAAGTCCGAGTACCTCGAGGGCAGTCGACCTTCAAGTAAGGCAGTAGCAATTTTAGAAGTCAACCAGCTAAGCAGTAAAATCTACTGTATCATTTAAACAGGGAAGAATGAGTTTGGGGTCAAGTTTTGCTGTAGACTTTGTGACTTTGTTGGCCCGCCAGTGTCCAAAAACCACACAGGCCTGGAATGATGATCCAATGATCCAAGGAAACGGCTTCCAGATCATTTGAGACTCACTGAGCAAAAAAAACCATTGATATCATGGTGAGCTGGAGCATGTTGGGCGCCACATTGTCACCCCAAGGGCACCAAGTCTTCGATTCGCAACTCCTTCACGAAGATTTCGAGCAAGGAGGCGATCAAGGGAGCGC